ACAAATGACCAAGCTCGCATCAGTAGGTTTTGCACCCCCAAGCTGTCCATCCCTGCTAGGGACGACTTGGAGAGCCCCCGAAGAGGATGTCTGCAAGTCCTACCTGCCTGATGTAGTCAATGGGGAAGTGCTGAGAAGAGTAAGGTCAGTAAGGTCCCTGGCTCTTGGCTGTAGTACCTAGAACTGCCTTCACATGCAAGACCTGGCTACAAAATTCCTGCCTGGACCGGTGTTTGGTTTTTTTTAATAGAAAATCCATTCCCTCCTTTGCTGTTAGACAGGGACATTTCTGTGTGTTGGTTAGTTTGGTGATCGCCCAGCTTCTGTTGGCGGCTGCTCCTCTGTGCCAATTTCTCCCCATTCGCACCCAAATCTAGGCAGCTAACTCCGGGCTGCCGGCTTTGCTAGGCAGCAAGGTGCCCAAAAGTTGTGTGTTCACTGCAGCACCTGCCTCTGGTTGTGGATAGAAGCAATTTTAGGGGTTGGCTTTAGTGAAGTATCCTGGAAGTTGGAAGACTTGGAGAGTTTACACTGAAATGTTCCAGCAGCGTGGTGCAAGGGAGAAGGTAGCGCTGGGGCACTCAGTGGGAAGGAGAGCAGGGAAGTGGGGTATACACACACTAATGTGACCTATGCCTTAAAAAAAGAGCCTCGAGGAAAGCTCTGGAGCTAATCTGAGCAGGTTTCACCAATGGAAGCACCTTTGCAAGGAGGATGCATTAGCTAGTAAGAAGTTCTGTGATCTGGGAGAGGGGGAGCATCTCAAACTGGCAATGGATGTTAAAGCTAGGCAAATTCAAATGATAGGCAAGGCAAGGCATGTGATTTTAATAGGTGATTAGCCACCTGGGGAATCTACCTTGATTTGCCTATGAAGGGTAATGGTAGAGGCTCAATCTCTTTTTACTGTGCTGTCAGCAACTAGAGACACAGTCCCATACGAGTACCTGACTTGAGCTACAGGAATTTGCACCGTGTGTTTTGCACAGGGTCAGAAAATGCGGTGCTTCTTTCTCTGCCTTAAAATCTGTGGCCGTAAGATAAATATCATCGTGTTTGTGAATGTGTCTATTTTTACGTTGGCTACAAGTACAATTTTAAGAGCTGCAGTGAGGTGTAGTGAGCAGCTCTGCGTGTCAGCAGGTGGGGTCCAGCAGTGTCACTGCTGAGCCTGAGCTGATAAACTCAGGGCAGGAGCTGTTGGAGAGTCTGGAGAAGTGCCAGGGGTTTTGGTAAACCAAGAAGGGAAGATGAGGAGGAGGAGCTGTTGGACTGGGGTGAGGTTGAGGCCCAGTGGAGGAGCGTTGTGGTCCCCTGGGTGGCAGGATTGCCTCTAGGCTCTGGGCTTCCTCAGAAGTTGGAAGCCCTTTGTCCCAGCCATCTTCTGTGTCAGGAGGAATCCTTTATCCCAGCAAGTGTCCCGAGCAAGGGAAGCTAGAAGAAAAAGGAGGCTCTGCACTGCCCTGTCCTCTCCAGGAGACAGCAGGGGTGTTGGTGGGAAGAGGTGCTGGAGGGCTGTAGCCCAGCCCCCTGCTGTAAGCAGGACTGTCCCGGCACTAGGTCACATCACTGTGGCTTTGTGTAGCTGAGCCCTGAGAACCACCAAGGATGGAGATCCCACCACCTGCTCCAGTGCTGCGCTGGCCTCCTGGTGAAAAAGCTTTCCCTGATGGATGGCGATGCCTTCCTCCACTGGCATTTCATTAATCAGCTCCGCTTGCCAGGTTTCCCCAGCAGGACGGAGGCAGGCCAAGCAGAGCTTAGGAAAGCTTTTTGCTCCACGTCTTGCGGTGTTGCTTTTGTCTGCGTTCCCCGCTGGCTGCATGCAGCAACAGATCACCCTGCTGCCTGACCCTGCTCGCCTGTGTGCGACAGGAGGGGATTGCGAACAGGCTGGCAGGTACGGCAGGTAAAATCAGCATTATGGAAGATGCTGGCAGAAAACACGGGTTGCTGTGCATGCAGGCAGGCTGTGGCAGTGTAGGGGGCCAGTGAAGGGATGTGGCAGTGGGCTCAGCTGGGATCTCGGAGTCTGCGATGGTTTCCAGGGCACGTGCTGGGAGGTCTCCAAGCAGGAGCTGCCACCGCTGCTTCAAAACAAGTTTCTTGACTGGGATCCCTCTTGTCTGCTTGTCCTTCCCTTTTCCCTGGCTGTTTATTTGGTAGTATCGCTGCTGGGCACGTGGCTCCCTACCAGCTGCTCCTGCTGTTGCAGCGAGAGTTTTTGGAAGACAGGGATCTCCTGCGTGCTTGAGAAAAGCCTTTCTGCCTTCCTCTCCCTTGACAAAAGCACTGCTTGCCATGGCTCAGCCTCTCCAGTCAGAGGCAGAGCAAGGGAACAGCCACCTAAGAAGAGGGAAAATGTTAAAAAAGAGGTGATAGAAGGAGAAGGAAAGCTCGCTTCATTTCCCACCCTAAGCCCGTATGGGAGGGACTGAAATCCAGGTTTGACTTCTAGCAGTCATGGGTGTTCCAGGGAAGATGCAGCCAGGTTGCTGAGGGGAGAGGAGGTGTTATAAATGCAAATGAGGGCTGCTGTGGGGAGCCCAGAGTCGCAGGCAGGACGGGGGAGACAGGCAGGTCACAGGACAAAACTGATGCTGGACACGGCAAGGCAGCAGAGGGGAACAAATGTGGTCTGCTCCCAGACAAGGAAGGCAGAAGAGTAACAGAGGGATGGAGGAGCCCTGGACGTCTGGAGGAGAAGCAGCAGGGAAAATGTAATAGGCAGACTCCAGTCAAGGCTAGCGAAGCTGGCCGTCCTCAGTGGGTCCGGGAAATTTCTGGAAGTGTGGACTGAGCCATACCCCAGATCCCAAGGGAAGGGCTGCAGCACACCACCCAACTGGAGCCTGCCCGCCTCCTGCCACAGAGTTCAACCCCGTTGCACGCTCATCCCTTGCTAACGGCTCAGCTGAGATCTTGGAGGCTGGTTTGTGCAAGTGCCACGCTCAGCTGCGCAGTCCTGGAGGAACGGGCCATGCGCCCACAGACAGCAAGGTAATACAGGTGTCCACATCCATAAATGTTTCTGTATCGATTGATTTGTGCGCAGTCTCCTCCCACCAGATAACGGCGATAAGGGACCATGCGGTGCTTTTGGCAGCATTGCCCTGGGGCTGAGGTCGGGGTCAGGGAGAAGACGCTGTAGGAGGAGACCTAGAGAAGGCTGAAATAGGGGGCAGGAAACAAGACCCGAGGCTGCTTTGTGAACAATGAAGGAGAAAGCCAGTCGCAAGCCAAGCATGATATTTGAGAGGCTGGCTGCCTCCACGCAACCTCCACTGCCCTTTGGCTCGCCATTGTCTGGCGTAGGCGGGCTTGCTGATGGACAGGGGCAGGGCTGCCTTTGAAGGGGGGGGCTCGAGTGAGGATAACGAAGGGAGCTTCGGGGGTGCAGAGGGGAAGTTATGCCGTTTTTAAGGGGGGCAGCACTGCGGGAAGCACTAAAGGCTAGGCAAAAAATAATAACAATTAAAGAAAAAGAAAGCACAGGCGCACTGGGTTCGTGCTGGGTTGATGACGGGAACCGGGGCCCGGCGGGACTTCAGCCTGCGGTGCGAGACCTAGAGAAGGCTGAAATAGGGGGCAGGAAACAAGACCCGAGGCTGCTTTGTGAACAATGAAGGAGAAAGCCAGTCGCAAGCCAAGCATGATATTTGAGAGGCTGGCTGCCTCCACGCAACCTCCACTGCCCTTTGGCTCGCCATTGTCTGGTGGCAGCTCTCCGTAGGCGAGCTGCTGATGGAGCAGGGGCAGGGCTGCCTTTGGAGGGGGGGGCTCGAGTGAGGATAACGAAGGGAGCTTCGGGGGTGCAGAGGGGAAGTTATGCCGTTTTTAAGGGGGGCAGCACTGCGGGAAGCACTAAAGGCTAGGCAAAAAATAATAACAATTAAAGAAAAAGAAAGCACAGGCGCACTGGGTTCGTGCTGGGTTGATGACGGGAACCGGGGCCCGGCGGGACTTCAGCCTGCGGTGCTGGAGAGGGACCCCTCCC